GAAAGAAGGTCTAATAGAAAAAGAATGCCAGACAGTGATGGGAAAGGAAGAGATTGTGGACATAATGCTCCTGAGGAATGGGAGGAATCAAGACACAGGATAGACTCAGGGAGAGGGCAGATATCTGGAGAGCATGTTTTCACTCAGACAGAGTTAAAAGGAAAGAATAAAGCCAGATGGTGCCTTTTAAAAAAAAAAATGAGGTAAAATTCACATAACATTCACCATTTTAGCCATTTAAGTGTACAATTCATTGGCTTCTAATACATTCACAAAATTGTGCAATCAGCAGCAGTATCTAATTCCAGAATATTTTCATCGCCCCAGAAAGAAATCTCATACCCATTAAGCAATCACTTCCCATTCCTCCCTCCCTCAGCCCCTGGCAACCACTGATCTACTTTCTGTGTCTAAGGATTTGTTTATTCTGGATATTTCACATAAATGGAATCATACATTCCGGGGGCTTTTGTGACTGGGTACTTTCACTTAGCGTAGTGCTTTCAAGGTTCACCCATGATGGAGCATGTATCCGCTCTTCATGCCTTTTTTTGACTAAATAATGTATCATTGTGTGGATTTATTTATTCACTCATTTGTCAATCGACATTTGGGTTGTTTCCACCTTTTGACTGTTGTATCACTCTGCTATGAACATTGGTATACCATGATCAATTGTAAAATCTCTTTCCTACCTCCATTCTGAGCTCTTTCTAACAACTTAGTCTAAATTTTACATTTAAAAGCTAATTATAAATAGATTATACAAATCCTGTGTTACACATTCAGAACCATGTATTCCACTGACTTTTAAAGGGTTTTTTTTAAATGAAGTTAGAATTTCATGGAAAATTACAAATTTAAAAATATTTTCTTTTTTTAAATCATACTGATTTTGTTTTCTGATGTTAGTGGCTAGAATTCTGCATAGTTTAAAAAATAATTATGTGTCAATTGAATTTCATAGTGTGTGGGAAACTCTACTATGGATTTGAACTGGTAGAGATCATGTTCATAGACCAGTCTGCCCACTTCCTTCACCCCTTTTCACACTGATCTCTGCTTCCTGTCCCCTAAGCACTCCTCCTATATTTGATGTTATCACATGTAATGTGACCCCTCTTTATAAGTACTCAGGAGGTATAGAATGTACCCCCATGAAGTTGATCCTTTGTTCTTTGGTTTGATATACTCTCCCCTCTCCAGCCCTCCGATTTCAGAATTAGAAATGGTGGGCATTTTCTGTACAGGCTGAGCTTGTAAATAATAATGACTAAGATGATAATATGCTAGTGAAAAAAAAAACAAAGTTAAACTTTTTATAGGCTTGATTTGCATTATACATACTAGTTTTTCATCATCTAAAGAATGTTTAGAGTTCTTTAATGTAAAATCTAAAAATATAGTCTGGTTTTTATAGAAATTTTGTTTTGACTACAGAGAATCCCTGCACGGGTCAGGTGACATCCTCTGTTTTTTATCCTGTATTAGACCTAAGCTTCTTGAGAGCAAGGACTGTCATACAGTCGTCCCTTAGTGTCCGCAGGAGATTGGTTCCTAGACCCTTCGCAGATGCTAGAATCCGAGGATGCCAAGTTCCTTATCTCAGTGGCATAGTGCTTGCATATAGCCTGCACATCCTCCCAGATACTTTAAATCACTTCTAGATTACTTATTGTACCAAATACGGCGTAATACTATATAAATGGTAGTTGCACTGCATTGTTTAGGGAGTAATGACAAGGAAAAAATGTTCGTGCATGTCCAGTACAGACTCAGCCACCTACATAATACAGGTCAGTAATGTACCTTGTTACAAAAAATATTTTCAATCCGTGGTTGGTTGAATTCATGCATGTAGGACCCGCAAATACAGAGGGCTGACTATAATATTATGTCCTCTGTGGAGATTAGCAAGTAGCCTACCAACAGTAAGTACCAGAACTGAGTAACAGGTGGTTAACATTGTTCAGAGTAACCACTGCAATAATATATGTGAAATTACAAAGTGAGATGCCAAATCTCACATGCACATATTCAAAGGAAAAGACTGAGAACATGTTCCATGATTCTTGGAGGGGGTAGGGAGGGAGGTATTATCTTCTTACCCTAAACCTAGAGGCCATGGTAGGGGTCACAGATCACTCTCCAAATTAGAGATGCAAATACTTTGATCAAGGGAGCTATAGGAGAGAGCACATGAAAGTCACCCCTACCCCTGAGATAAATGCCATTTTGTTTATCTTTAAATATCAGACCCAGAGAGTTCAGAGGGTACAAGTTCAAAAAGAAGCTTTATATTCCCATACCACTCCTCCTCCTTGTTGCTCCCACCTGGAAAAGTGAGAAACTGACTCACAAACTTGGGTGGAAGTTTCCATTAGAGAGGAAGCATAAAAAATAGATAGGTGTCTGACCTCACTCCCTTCTCCACCATAGACTTCTAGGCTAAAGAAAGTCCCTAGCTGAATGAAAAGCCCAGACTTTGTACTGTACTGGTGGTTGACTGAACCCATGTCAGAGTAGGGAAGAGAAGAGCATCATGAGCCTGTGTTAATACTGCATTTGAAGTACCTCTGAGCCGTGTAGGGGGAGAGGTGACAGGCGGGTGAGCAGCTGTCTATAGGTGGAAGTTGAAATGAAGCTTTGGGTGTGGGTGAAGTCACTTGGGGACAAATTCTATAATGAAAAGATGAGAAAATCCAGCACACTAGGTCTCTGCTTTGAGCAACTCTCAAATTCTGTTCAACTCATGACAGAACATATGCACTTTTTAAATGTGAAAAGTATAAGACCTTAAAGTATGTAGATGGTGTAAGCTTTTGATGTCTTCTGTTTTCTCATGAAAGTTGTCACAAATGGCTGTTTTTGTACCTAGACGCACACATACATACACATAAAACGATAAGGATTTCAGACTGGCTAGTCATTGCTATCATTACTTTTTCAAAGCATTGTAAAAAATATAGGGATGGACTTTAAAGGCTTCTTTCCCTGTGCCATGGCACAAGGCTCTCAGTTGTCTGGAAAATAAATAAATGTTCCTTCTCTGACCAATATGTGTGTAGCATGTCCAGTACTTTAAAGGGAACCCATAGAATCTGAGTTCTCTCTCTGCACAATGTCAGCTCCTCTTCCTAAATGCAATACTCCTTTGTGTTTATGTCTTTGTCTTCTGTCATCATTTCAAAATAGTGTCAGAAGTGATTTGGGGAGATTTATTATATTTTTTTAGAAATTGCTGATGCTTACATGTTTGAGACAGTCAAGGTTTGAAAGTTCATTTGAGTATGATTAGAATTAAATATCAGCAAATCAGAAAATCCAGGTAATTTGTAAATTAATATGCCAAAGAGATACAACAAGGTTATTTTTATCCTCTACTTTCAAATTTTAGTTCAGTCTTTATTCTACTTGTAATTATAAAAATAAAGAGATAAGCCAGTATATTTGGAGTTCAGTGATATGAGTTAGTAAATTTTTAAATTTTAAGATGGTCACAAATAACCTGAGCAGCTCTAATTTACCTTCTGTTCAAGTGGGATTGAAGGTCGAGCACGTAGAAAAGTATACGTAGTATTTTCTCCTGCTTGTGGTCAAACTTACTAATTCTGGTGTTTAGCAAAGTGAAGCAGGTTTGTCTCTTCTAGAATGTGCTTCCACGTATTATTAAAATTCCTATTTGATCCAAGTTTAATAATATACAGTTCTTTATTTTATTGAATTTATTGTGGTGCCATTGGTTAATAAAATTATATAGGTTTCAGGGATACAGTTCTATAATACATCACCTGTATATTGTATTATCACCACCCCAACTTACAGTTTGCTCCTAAAGCAAAGATACTTTGAATACTGAATATTCAAAACACTATTAAACCATAATTCTTGAAAATTATAGTTATATTTGAATTAAATATTAGGTAATAAGGCCATCTAGTGGTAAAATTCCCAAGTTCTAGTGTTTTTGAAAATCTGACATCTGCCTTACTAAATGTGAACTTTAAAATTTATCAGATAGATGTATTATATAATCATTGCACAGTTTTCTAGAAAATAGCTTAAACAGTAGCTCTTTAAACAAAATGAAGTCTCTGGTTATGCTCTGAAGCACCTTTCTACAAAATGTTTATTGAAACACCTGATATTTTTCTTGATTGTGATCATCAGAGGCACTACTAATATCTATAAATAATAAGCATCGAGAACAAAGTAGAGACTGTGGAACGTTAAAGTCTATGTAGTTAACATTTCTGCAGTCTCTTTGACAAAATCAGGGGCTATGATGAGCCAGGAAATGACTAAGACACAGTCCTGCTCTTAAAAGCACATTCTTGCTGGTCTCCGTATTTAGAATATTTCAAAAGTGTTCACCAGAGACAATCTGCTTATTCAAAATGCTAATCTGTGTGAGTAGACCCAGAAATCTGCATTTCCAATAAAGGCCTTTGAGTGATTTTAGGGGCATATAGTTTGAGAATTATGCTATACCCTATACAAAGATCACACAATAAAATCTGTTATTTGAGAACTTAGTTATATGTATAAATTTAACTCATATATATAAATGTTAAACATTTGGTAGGGAAAGAACACAAAATTAATCGTACATTTATAGTTTCCCAACATGCTTCTCAAAAATAATGGAACAAAGAGACAAACTGAAAACAAGTGGAAGTGGTATGCTTTTTAACTCTCCTGTGTTACAATGGTTAACATGATTGACCTCTTTTAACAATGAAATATAACATCCGGAGTCTTTCTTATTATCAAAACTACCTACTTTTGCTAAATATTAAGAAAGGGTGGTTACCTGTACACGAGCTGCCACGGTCCTGTTCCCTCTCCAGCTTGCTCTCCGTGTGGATGTTACCTTGTCATTAAACAAGTTTCCTCATTATTGAAATTAATTTAGAATATCTTTGCTTGCCTCCGAAGTTACTGATAACATTCACATATTAATCTGACTTTTCATTTATAAAATGATTTTGTCCTCCTAGGTGTTTGGAGTAGATGACAATCAGGACTATAATAGGCCTATTATCAATGAAAAACATACAGATCTGATCAAAGACTGGGCTCTCAGTCCTGCTGCACTAGCGATGGAGGAGAGGAAGCCACTGAGCACACCTGGGTTTCCCAACTCAGAGGTATATATCTCTCCCTCATGCTTCACTTTTTCTTTTCCAGAGGAAAGTTTGTCTTACTTTATTAAGCAAAATCCTATGGGGCTCTTTTAAAGAGTAATACTAGTAATTCAGTTGGAAAATATAGGCTAGTGCTTTAAAAAAATGGCAAAGTCAGGGTAAAGAAATCTGTCAAGCAAATACATCATTTATATTATTAAAAATGTTGAATTGGCACAGTCCTTCAGCTACACTAAAAGGAAGCTATATCAATAGCTGAACTCAAATCGTAGTCAACTGGACATGCGTGGAGATGAGAGTTAACTTTTTACATGCACAAATGTGAGTTTCTGTCACTTGTAATTATATTAAGTGATTGCTATGTCTCCCTGTAAAATACTTCAAAAAATGAAATTCTTACAGATTGTTTGTTTCTAATGAAAGCTTAAGGCCATTTTGCAGTACCTCTGTTTCAGTTTTTGTTGCTGTGTTTTTTCAAATTAATATTCTTCGGTCCGTGAGGGAAAGTGTTAACTTTCAGTAGGCAGTCAATCAGCTCTATGCTTGCTGCTCTAATTGGCATTATGAGACAAAACAAAAGAATATGCACGGCGTATACTTCGTAGCAGGTCATGTATCTAGAGTGGGAAGACCTATCCTGCCAGGAAACAATATGCAAGGAAGTGCACAGTAGATACAGCTTGTACACCTCAGGCAGTGCCACTGCAGGACAGCCGGGGTGTGATTAGAACAATATGAAATTATTCGAGGGTGGCTTAGTTAGGTAGTTACAGAGTGAGGCTGGGACAGCAGAGCTATGAAAACCCGAGTTCGGATCCCAGAACTGCCACCTCTCACAGTGTGCGTTTGGCTCAGTCACTTCCCCTCTTGTCTTCAGTGTTTTCATCTCTACCAGTGGTGGTTTCTTCAATCCTCACCTGAGGATGTTTTACCATTTATCTTCAGATAGAGTGGGAGGTGGGGACGGGAGGAGAGAAAGAAACATCCAAGTGAGAGAGACACATCAACTGGTTGCCTCCTGCACAACCCTGGCCAGGGCCCGGGACTGAACCTGCAGCCAAGGTGCATGCCCTTAGTGGGAACCGAACCCCGTCTCTTTGGTCCACAGGCCGACGCTCTAACCATTGAGCAAACCAGCCAGGGCTACCAATGGTATTTTTAATAAACCTGTTTACAGAGAGTTTACAGAGAGTTTAATGAGGTATATATAAAGCACTCAGCATAGTAATTGCCTGAGATTTATACATTTAGCAAATGTTTAATTCCTTTATTGGAATGATCTTAGAACTTCATTCCACACTGATGTGTCAAAAAGGAAATCTAATAAAATGCATGTAACTGAGAAGTAGAGCTAACAGTCAGTGGAAACTTTTTCTGTGCACCACTTTACAGAGAAGGAAACTGAAGTATGTAGTAATTAACTTGGCCAAGATCTTCAAACTATTACCTTGTGGAGCTAGAATTTGAACTTCAAGTGCTTTGATTTCTTAACTCATTCTCTTACTCACTGTGCTATAATGCCTCTCAGGAAATAAGTAATTTAAATTATACGAATGGTAAATAACTATAAAATATAAATAACATCTTAAGGCATGAATAAAACAAAATATAAATAATACATTGAAGTATAAATAAAATATTTTTTATAGACAGTTAAATATACTTATATGTTAAAATTGTCCCTTTTGTTCTACCATTTCCCGAAAACTGTCAAAGCAGTTATTGTACTTGAGTGTTCTTTTTCCCCCTTGATCTTAGAAGATTTTTATTCTGGTTTCTGTTTTACAAGATGCTTAGTTTACATATTGGAAGCAAGCAGTACATATTCGAGGCAATGTTTTCATATTCTGATTAATCTAGGAAGGGTTCTGGTAAATGTGACCTAATAGACCCTCCTTTCTTTTCTCTAGCCCCTCAACCCGTGCAAGGAAAACTTGTATGTAGCCCCAGTATGAATGTATGTTGTTATGTAGACTTCCTATTTTACTCCTCCTGAAAATATTAAAGTGTTACAGAAGTATCAAGCTTTGGGTTTATTCTAAAAATCCCTGAAGACATGACCTGGCAAATTTAATACCCTTCAGACTCTGAGACCATTCTGATTCCTGGAAACATTTAGAGGACTAGAGGACAACTTAGGATTAGACCTTTAGACTTCCTGCTCCGTAGAATGGAGTAGAATCGACTCCACCGTTAGAGCCCCAGAGCTGTGATAATACACCAGAGTTCATCTAGCAACAGCACATTTAAGTCCAAGAGTTTATTTTAGTACCATTGTTAATCTGTAATAAGTTGAATTATACTACATCCACAGTCATAATAAAATGTTGTAGTTAAAAGGGGTACCTAGAGAATCTTCATTTTATAGTATATGAGGAAATTTAAGAAATGATACTATAGAACTGTGAGGTTTAATTGCTTTGTATGACAGCTTACTGTGACTAACTGGAATTCTCTTTCATGAGAATCAGATTCGACAGGCTGTTATTTGTCATCTTATTTGTCTCCCTTAGGAAGGCACGTCTTCATCTGGAGGCAAGCGTTGGGTTTCCCAGTGGGCCAGCTTGGCCGCTAATCACACACGGCATGATCAAGAAGACAGGATAATGGAACTGTCTGCACCTGTCCCTTTAGAGAATGGTATTTTCTTTTCTGTGTGTGTCTGTGTGAAAAATACATCAGTTTTTAAAAACAAGCTAAATCTATATAGTGAGAAGTAAATAAACATACTCACATATGCCTATGCTTATACTACATACATAATTTTAATTTCATTAACGTGGACATCATTAAAATTAACTCACACTGATGACAGAGGTAACTTGTAGATGAAGCACATAATATACACAGATATATATAACACGTGAAAATTTAAAAAGAAGACTAACACAATTCCAAATTGTGCCATTCATTAATAGAACAAATATTTAAATGCTACTTTGTACCATACATCAATAAAGAATTTACTTAATATATAATTTACTTACTCCATCTTTTGTAAATCTATGTAATGTGATTTTTTTTTTTTTTTTTTTTTTTTTTTTTATCCTCACCCGAGGACATTTTCCCATTTCTTGTTCAGGTAGAGTGGGAGGGAGAGAGAGGAACAGAGAGAGAGAGAGAGAGAAACATCGATGTGAAAGGAACACATCGAGTGGCTGCCACCCACACAACCGACTAGGGCCGGGGACAAACTGCAACCGAAGTATGTGCCCTTAGCGGGAACCGAACCCGGGTCTCTCAGGACCGCAGGCCGACACTCTAACCGCTGAGCCAAACCGGCCAGGGCTGTAATGTGATTTTTATTACCTTTTAATTATATTTCTGCAAACTGAAATATACTTTCTTTTAAAGAAAAAGTTACATGCCTCTAATAATATTATTAGATTCAGTTAATTACATTCTTAACTTTAAAAACCCTCAAGGAGAATTTATATGTGGCTTTTATTCTGTATTTTTAATTTTGTTATCCTTACAAATGGAAATAGAAATTTATCTTTGGTTTGTGGCACCCCAAAAATTTGGTTTAGGAACTTTGTAAACATTAGTCAGCAGTTATTTGAGTAAGATACATGACAGTGTACTAGAAAAGCTGTATCATGCATCATTCAGAAATTATAGAAGTAATTGATCACATTACCAAAAATGTTTGGAAAGTCAGAGTGGTTTGCAGGTTGGTTCACAGGAACTAGTCCGTGTTTGGGAAACAGAGACTAGATAGAGGAGCGAGGTACAGTTACAGAAGGAATCCACCATAAAATTAAGTATTAGCTGTGGGAAGTAAAATTCTGCCCTTGTTACAAGAAATAGTAGAGCACTCGGCCTTCAGGATCTCATTTCTGCTTCATGTTCTGAGTGCATTTATTTAGATAAGTTGGTACATCCACTTAAATCTAAAGTGTTCTTGTTAAACATTTATCGAGCGTGAGAAATGCTAAAAAAAATATAAGAAGATAAAGTAGCTATTGCATTTAGGATGCTTCAGGTAGCAAGGAGATAAGACATACGATAACATATGATTAATTGCTCCAAGATAAATTAATAAGTTTACTATTTTCTTGTGTCATAATCATTATATTGCTATGAAATTTAAATGCTAAACTTTTAGAATTGTAAAGGGGATAAAAAGACCTACAGAAACTACATCTAGCATCTTTTCCCCGCTTATCATTTCAAAAGATTAGGATGCATCATACTTTATATCTCTCTGAAAGATGTATCCCTTTTCTCAGAAATACATTCATTTGTTCAGGAAAATCGTCAAATATTGTCAAATTCTCTAACATGGAAACATTAATGTGTATATTTTCTCACTGGCTTCTGCTTATTTGAAAAGGAGAAAGTGGTCATATACAGTATCTCTCTATGCGGCCTTAATGTGCCAGACGATCCTAATTTAAAATCCCTCCATTAGTAAAATTATGACAAGTTCTATCACCTTTTTTCATACTTATAATTTTAAAAATTCTTTAAATTAGCTTTGAATTTTATTTTTAGAAAACCTCATTAAAGTTCTGCATTTTCTGTTTTATTATTATTATTTTACTTATTCTTTCTAGTAGATAAGAATGCTCATCAAAATCTAGGTATATTCTTCTTTACTATGTCATTGAAAGTATAGCAAGTAAACAGTGTTATTAGGCATTCTTTGTGCAGATCTTTAATTCGCTAGTTGGAGTCTATTGTCTTGAGCAACACTTAGAGGACGTGACGAGTCATAAAAGCAAGAATGTGCAGGGTTAGCTTCCATAAAACACAGTAAAAGAAAAGGAGGCAGCAGAGGTACGTTTCAGATCAGACACCCCAATTTTCATCTCATACAGTTGACTCTCCTGGCTCCCCTGCCAGTGACCCGCCTGTCCGTGCCCTTGGCATCGCCCTTGCTCTTCAGACCACTCTGTCACAATGCCAGCTTATTCAGTCAAAGTTTTGTTTTATACTTAAGCCTTTTCCTAACTTGCACTTCACAACCTACTGTAACATGGTACTATTTTTATTTTTATTTTTATTTTGGGCCCTGATTTCTTCCTTGTGGTTTCATCTGGCAGACCCGGATGTCGGCGAGTCCGGCACTGCAGTGCGAAGCAGCAGCTCCACCACCTCCCTGGCTGGTCATGGCGAGAGGAGGAGACGGACCCTTCCCCAGCTCCCCAGCGAAGACAAGGCTCTGGAGAGCTCCAGAGCGAAGGCGATGACCCCGAGGTCAGAGATAGGAGAGAAACAGGACACGGAGCTGCAGGAGAAGGAAGCCCCTGCACAGGCGCACCAGAAAGATAAACAAGGTGCTGACAGAGGCCTGGGGAGAATGAACAGGGCAGTCAACGGGGAGACCCTGAAATCGGGCGGAGACAGCAAAGCCCTGCTGCACCTGGGCAGCTCTTCCCCGGGGAGGGAGAAGGGCGACACGGAGAAGGAAGCTTCTTTGGTAAAGCAGACGTTGGCCAGAATGCAGCAACAAGAGCCAAAGGAACAGGCGCAGTGGACACCCACGAAATTGTCTTCCAAAAATGTTTCGGGTCCCGTGGAGAGAAGTAGGGAGGAATCTTTTAAACAGGAGTCACAGCCTCAAGAAAAAATTCCAGGACATTCTGCAAGCAAGGGAGAAAGGGTGGTTCAAAGTGAGGGCAAGCGAAGGAAAGCTGAGGAGATTCTGAAGGGCCACGCTGCAAAGGGAGGGGACAAGAAGGACTCCTCCAAGCCACTAGTGCGACAAGGAAGCTTCACTATCGAAAAGCCCAGCCCAAACATCCCCATAGAGCTCATCCCCCATATAAATAAACAGGCCTCGTCCACACCCGCTTCCCTAGCTCTAGCGTCTGCCAGCAGACTGCGCGACAGAAGTGACTCCATGGAGACTGACGCCAGCATGGACACGACCCTGATTCTAAAAGACACCGAAGCCGTCATGGCTTTTCTAGAAGCTAAACTGCGTGAAGATAATAAAACCGACGAAGGCCCGGATACCCCCAGTTACAACAGAGACAACTCCATTTCCCCGGAATCTGATGTGGACACGGCTAGTACCATCAGCCTGGTCACCGGAGAGACCGAAAGGAAGTCCACCCAAAAGCGCAAGAGTTTCACGAGTCTCTACAAGGACAGGTGTTCCTCGGGCTCTCCTTCCAAAGACGGTGCCAAGTCGTCGTCCGGTGCTAGGGACAAAGGCGAAAAGAAAACAAAAAGCCGTTCCACCGAGGTCGGCTCGAGAGCAGATGGGCGTAAGTTCGTGCAGTCCAGCGGGAGGATGAGACAGCCTTCCGTGGACTTGACAGACGACGACCAAACCTCCAGCGTGCCTCATTCTGCCATCTCCGACGTTCTGTCGTCGGACCAGGAGTACTCTTGTAAACCCCACGGAAGGACTCCGCTGGCCTCGGCCGACGAGCTCGCGCACTCCAAACTGGACGGAGGCAGGGGGACGAAATGCAGGGCTGCCCCCGCGGCGCCCGGGGCCTGCAGCAAGTCCACCACGCTCCCCAGGCCGCGGCCCACCAGGACCTCCCTCCTGCGCCGGGCCCGGCTCGGTGAGGCCTCAGACAGCGAACTCGCCGATGCCGACAAAGCCTCTGTGGCTTCTGAAGTGTCCACGACAAGTTCAACATCCAAACCTCCCACCGGAAGGCGGACCATCTCGAGGATTGATTTACTGGCTCAGCCTCGGAGAACAAGGCTTGGCTCCTTGTCAGCGCGCAGCGACTCCGAAGCCACCATCTCGAGAAGCAGTGCCTCTTCGCGAACCGCCGAAGCCATCATCAGAAGCGGAGCCAGATTAGTACCTTCAGATAAATTTTCTCCTAGAATTAGAGCCAACAGTATCTCTCGACTCTCAGACTCCAAGGTCAAAAGTATGACCTCGACGCATGGCTCGCCCTCAGGTAAATTGGATCCAGGCTTTTTATAATATTAGCATATTTAGTTTATGTTTTGGGACTCCTTTATTAAAAAACCAGATCTTCATTGTTGCTTCCCAAAATACTCAACAGGAAGGTTACTCTATAGAGACTTTTTTTTGCTGTAAAAAGTATTTTATTTAGCTTAGTAAATAGAAGATTCAGAAGTTATATATACTTCCAGTTAATATCCTGGAGTAAAATAGTGATTTCAAAATTAGAGGTATACTGAACTGATTCGGGAGATGCAGTTGTCTGTTGGTGAGATATCTGGATGTGTATGTCAGAATTAGATCAGGAATTATTATCTGGTTTAGAGTACAGGAACTAACACTGTGACCCTAAAAGCATGTATTTAACTTTCCAATATCCTCACCTAATTCAAAGCCCTTATGAACCTAAAGAAAAGCAGTGTACTGTATATTATCCTTTCAGATCTAAATCAGATATTTTACCCTTTTTGTCCTACCGTTTTGAAATGTCTTACACCTTACGTATACTTTTAGAAGATCTGTTGATGGTCGGGCAGGTGGAACTAACCGTGATTTGTGCACTGGAAGAAATAGATGCTTAAGGCGGTCACCAAACACGCGGGTCAAACTGGTTACAGGAATCTAACAGCTTCTGAGCATTATTATCTCACAAACACTGCCATGTCATTTAACTATGATAATTAGCTGTCATTAATTGTAATGTTTACAAATACTGCCTACTCCCCACCAGATTTTAGCTGCTTCTGGCATATTTACCTGTTTCTGTACTTCACATTGAGCGCTGAAGCCGTGGGAGTACTCGTGGCCCCTTTGGCTTGGAGACAGATACTTGTGTGCATCTCGCAGACGTGGCCTCACTACTTCACAATCAGCCTCACTGTGGGTGTGGCCTAAAAGGCCAGGGGAAGCTGCCTAGCGTCTGGGTGAGCTCTAAACCCTGAGTTAGGGTGATGGGCAAGTCAGTGCGCAGCAGTGCCCACAGGACTGCCAAGTAACGGTACTTGGTGTGTGTGACTTTTCTTTTGCATTTTTTCTTCCTCCTTTTCTCTCTTCACCGCTGCTTCCTACACTCTGTTCACATTTCCGTCTGTCCTGGTCGGGGTGTGGTGATGATGGTTGGACCTGTGGCAGGAATGGGTGTGGGCTGAAGATGCATAGCGCTGACCATGGTTCCAAAAATAAAGGCTGCATTTTCTCTTTACCGCCATCCTCTTGGTTCTGCACTTCAAGCTTTGGTTGGTGGTTCATAGATTTGTCACCCAGTGTTTTAAAACTGCTTCGTGGTTTCTGTTACTCGGTGTTATTCTGTTGTTCTTTCTGGCTCTACCTCTTAACTCACATTTGCTTTGTGCCACACACTGGGGTGTGTCCTCTGATAAACCGTCTTCTGTCACATTGCGTGTTTCGTCACCTCATGTCTAAATTTGTGGAAAGGTTTCAGTACTCTCCTGTCTGAACACGGGCTGTGACATAGCTGTGTGTTACCAGTTGCATGGAACACCTGTCCCTTCTGTCCTGGTTGTCTGATGATCTGGTGGTATTCCTCGGTGTTTAGCTTGAGGGGCTTATTTGAGATGCAAACCAAGTGTGATAACTTCAGCAAGTCTAAGAGACAGCTATAAGATACCATATTTACACAATGTTAAAGATGAGTTTTGTTTTGGCTTCTTTGAATACAGAGTATGACAAACACGCAGTTTTCTATGTCCAAACAGTACCTTGATTTGCTCACTGAAATTCTCAGGGCAAATTGAGGTACATGATTTCTGGCCTTTTTCATACTTAATAGTAGTATATTAAATAATTAAAATCATGAAACTTAACAGCTAGAAGGGTTCTTCAGTTTAGGTAGCCAAGGCCAAGAGGTGAAGCCACCTGCCCTGGTCGCAGAGCTGTGGCAGGGACAGGATGGGCAGCCAGAGCGTTTCGCTCCCAGTGTGTCACTCTTTCTGCCACATGCAGTGTGGCTCTGAGAGTACTCCGGGTCCCCTTGCACGCCGGCTCCTGGAGGACGCCTGCTAGACTCCCCTGCATCCTCACCGGGGTACATAGAGGCCAGGAGACAATGTAAAGGTCTTGAGGTTACTCACTATGATCTTTGTAATTCTGATGTTTACCAAGTCTGTGTTCCTCCAGTGAGCCTAAAGCCACATTGTGACCCAGGGTCGTATATCCAGATTCTCTCAAGATGCCCATTTATGCTATTGTATCTAGAAAGACAGTGGCCAGGATATTTTAGTCAGTGGTAACATATTAAAATAGCTACATGGGCCCTGGCTGGGTGGCTCAGTTGGTTAGAACGTCATCCCAGTACACCAGGCCAGGGTTATGGGTTTGATCTCAGGTCTGGCACATGCAAGAGTCAACCAGTGAATGCATCAATAAGTGGGAAAACAAATCGATGTCTCTGTCTTTCTGTCTCTTCTCTCTCTTTCTCACCTTCTCAGCCCCGTTCCTCTCTCTCTCAAATCAATAAAAACAAAAAAAGTTTTTCTAATAGCTACATGGGATAGGTAGTAAAAGAACAAAAAACAAACATACTTTTTTGCTGTTGTTAATTGAGTTATCTTTGCTATTATGATATTTCTACTTAAGATAATAGTAATATCTTGAATGGAAGAAGAAAAGAAAATCTCTAGCTTCTGAAATATGATGTAGAAGAATGTGGAACCATACTGATCAGTGTTGCTGTGCACATGGTCAGCTTTAAAGATCTGAAATATCTGAACCTAGAGCCTGTGATATTGCCCAAATTGACATATAAAAGTCATTCTGTAATACTTCAGATTTCATATTTTAACAAAATTAAGAGTGAAGGTTCTTTACTGCTTCTTTAATTCTGATGTATTTTACTTTTAGTTTGTCTAGTTTTTTCCTCAAAAAATTCCTTCAATGATCCTTTAATATCAAGTTATATAGAAATATCCAGATCTATTTTAATAAGATGTATTTTAAGCTAAATACCCTAAATAATTAAAATAAAGCAATTGGTTTTCATTATGTTTTAAGTGCACATTCTATAAAAAAATTCTAAGGATGATAACATGATGTTTTTATTTTTGACTGTTTACTTTCCCATTTTTATTCTAGTCTTCAAAATTTATAGATGGGAGGAATTAAATGTTGGGCGTGCATTTAAATGTTGGGCATGCATTTAAGATATTTGTCAGGGATTTTTTTTTCCTCAAATGATCTTATTGCTACCTGCTCATAAATATACATGTAAAACGTGTTTGTGGTTTAAATTCCTACAAAAATATTCTTATATCAAGTGTGAAGATGCGGTGTTTGTTGTCTGAAATGCTTTGGATACATCTGTAATGTGGATGTTTTAAAGCCGACAAAATCTTGGTGACAGGAAAAGAAATGAGAGCATTTGCAGATAAATGATCCTAATAACTCTTTCCTTTATAATTCTCTAGACATCATGGTATGTTTTTACAGTGAATATAGTTTATTACTTCCACAAGAGGGAGTGTTGCCTAATTTTATAACTAAAATAAGTTTAATATTAATGTAGCTGAAATAATTTTCTGGTTAGCTATGAAACTAATTAAGCTCATCTTAGAACTTTCACTGTATTATATGTGCTATTCAGCATCACACCAACCAGGAAACGTACTGCTGTAGTTTGGAAGCAAGGATAAGAAAGCATAGCTATTAAAAGAAGAAGTTCTTTGAGAAAGACCAGGGTAGAGGTCCTGGCATTGAAGTCCCTCTCCCAGACCCTTTCCCCCGGTGGTCATTTCCCTCCATGTTAACTCCACTCTGCTGTTACTACCCAAGCTAAGTGGTGTCCAGAGGAACCTTGAGCTTTGCTGCCTAGCACACTGTGTATGACGTGCTTGCCCCTGGTAAAGATAACCCTTGGCTGTTTGAAGAGTGATCATTTTTATTTCTCTGCTCTACCCTACTTAACTTTCTCCTTTCTCAATTTTAAGAGAACAAATCTAGCAATGTTACCTTTCCACTTTTAAAAATATGCTTTATTCTTTTGGTTTGCTTTTCTTTTTAAAGATGTTAGAAGCTATCGCTGTTCTTATTGTTTCTTAGGTAGACCTAACAAAATACGTAGAAAGTTTACGAATTTCTTGTAAAAGAAAGTTTTTTTCTCTCTAAACTGTCTCTACAATTTTCTGATGTTGAGACTCATACTATTAAAAGTTAATTCTAGCGTGGCTGTGCTTATAGATTGTCATATGATGTTTAACATACGTTAGTAGCACTTGGTTCTCCGTTTCTCATTCTGCTTTCCTGCACTCTGCCACTCATGACCTGGATCAGCTACTGTGGCCATTCTTTGTAAATTGTCTCTGAAGTCCCCTCCTTAGTCCCATCATACCTGCTTATGGTTTCATATCGTCTGCAATTTATTGAAGCTCCTTGTTATTGGTATTGTTCTCTCCAAACAATTTTCAGTAATAGGTATGCTTACCATAGTTTCCAAGTCAAAAATCGGGAAATTTAATCTAACAAATGATCTTTTTTATTTAAGCATTTCCTTTTATGAATAATATTCTAAGGTAACAAAATAAACATTTAGCATTAAATGAAAATGCCTTTATTGAAAAGTATGAATTTGTTTTGCCATATTTTAATTGGTTTGCAATATTTCTAATTTGTTTCTAACACCTCTTTGCTCCTATTCCTAAACTTTTCCTAAAATTGCTTTCAAGTTCTCAGGGTCAGTTCAATTAATGGGAGTTTTCAAATGTGTGGAAGTGAGTAAATTTCCACCATGGTAAAAGTATTAATTCATGTTAATTATATAACATAAAAATCAGAAATTATATTTAATCCCGCCTTCAAAAATCTCTGCAATTAATTTCCTAGAGGTATGTATTTGCATACACCTCTACAGAGATCCATGCTGTTTCTGCATATCTTTATTCTCTTATACCCATGAGTCCCAAACTCCAAATAGAAGCTTCAGATAGACTGTGATTCATGACAAATGGATAGGCTCTTATTTATGCATATTTCTGATTGCAGACTTCTCTGTTGTATCTGAGAGCCAGCTCGGGTATCAGCTTTATCTCAGAGCCAACTCAGCTTTACCAGAGCCCCAGGCAAAAACATAGTTGGGTGGGAAAGACAAAGAGTATAAATTCTAGGGGATAAGATGAAGGAATTCTAGATTTCACCAGTCTAACAGCCTAGGATCAGTTTCTGTTCTTAAAAGAGAGAGAGACAGAGAAAGAGAAACACTTTACTAATATTGTTAGCAATTGGAACTTATAGCAGGGGCTAACTAAGGTTTTGTTACTTTTAACTACCAAAAACATCTCATGCTTTTTATTAGGATTTTCCCAACTCGAGAAAGCAAATGGCCAGTGCCCAGGGATTAATTAATTTATTCAAAAATATTAAACATTTGCTAACCAGACACTCTGCTAAGTGCTGGCTATTCATTGATGGGTTAAACAGGCACGGTTCCTGCCCTCGTGGAGTTATTGCAAATTAGCTATCGTGTCTCTGTGTTTTAACCTCTATTTATGCTTCACAAATTATGTTTGATCCTGGTAACAATAGTGGTGAAATGTCTGCATTAATTTGTCTACTGATTTTTTAAATGTGATCTCTTGTGCCTAAATGTCAGTGGTTGTGAGAACGGCCTGTAGTTTTGCTCCTTGTAGCTTTTATGCCATTGTCTGTTTTCACCATATGCTTCCTGTGTCAAGCAGCAGAGTTGTACTGAAGATGCTGTGTTGTGTTTTTACCATGTAAAAAGGTTTTTTCCAATCATAGCATAACAGGATGTTGAATGACAGAGGTAATATTTTTTTTTCTGCCATAAAGGCATAATTTCCACAGCCGGAATTATGCACGTTTGTATGTTGGGAAAAGAGAGTTTTTACCATCTCCATGTTGAAAGTCCATGTGGCATGAAAAATCTTTTCCCTTAATTTAGTTTTGTTCTTGTTATTGTTGCTGTCATTTTTTTTTTTTTTTTTTAGAAAATTCATATCTTCATTCAAATGAGAAATTTTTGCAATTCAAAAGTACCTGAGTTAAACATGTATGGATAGAGCTTGCTTAGTTGTTTACCATTAGTGAATTTTTCATCTGAATGTTTATTCACCATATTATGAAAAACACAGTCTTTCAATTATTTTCAATTATTCATTGTTTTTAATTTACCAAATTGTGCTGTTTCTATCTTTAAGGAGTAGTAGACTTATGGTTTCTGTGAGGTTTGTGTATGTCATTTATTGAAAATTGTGCTGTGTGTGCTCTCATAGTGTTTTTGAAATCATGATGTTTACTTTATTTCCTTTAAAAGATAACATAATAATTCTTTTTTTAATAATTAAACTAATTTAGTAAATTCAAGATGGAGGCGCTTTCCTACTGATTATGCTTCCACCTCAGAAGATGAATTTGGATCAAACCGTAATTCCCCTAAACATACTCGTCTGCGTACTTCTCCAGCCTTGAAAGCGGCTCGGCTGCAGAGCTCCGGGCCAGCAGTGCCCACTGGCTCCTCGTTCAAGCACCGGATTAAAGAGCAGGAAGACTACATCCGAGACTGGACTGCCCATCGAGAGGAGATAGCCAGGTTGGTTTCGATGGATTATCTTGAAGACTTGACATTTTTTGCCAGCATTTCCACTTGATTCCAAAGTTTAGCTTTGTACTTGATTTGTACTAGTAGTCTAAGAAATGAAATCCAAAGGTAACTGTTAGCTTAGTTTTGTTGGAAGTATTACTCTCCATTCGTTTTTTTCATTTCATATTTTCAATACCAGTGCTATTAACATATTGTAGAGTTAATTTATTTTGTTTATTTTTCAATTTATAGTACAGATGCTGATGAGTCATTATAACTTTTGAAAGGTAGTATCAGCTCTGCATAAGTATTGTGCAGCTAAAATTTTATTACTTTTTTTTTTTTTTACCTTTCAAAGAGGTAATAGTGTACTTGTTAGAGGTATGTTGCTAATGTTCTCTGTGGAAAATTAGAGTAGGCAGATTTTTGTGAGTTTATTAAGTATAGATCATCCCTTTGATAATAAAATCAAAATATGTTTATTTTCAATGTTAAATAAATTTCTTTATTATAATTTTTAGGTATATATAAAAAGTAAAATTCATTTTGCAGGTATGATTTTTAATTGATAATTTACTGTGATATAACATTGAAAGAGGCTAAAATCAAACAGATGCTATAGTAATTAAAATACAACTTTTTAAAATTTGTAAGATATTAAATTTTATCCCAATATACCATATGTTACCCAAACATTTTCACTGTATACATGCTAAAACTATAAAGTTTTACACTTGGCAACATTATTAAAGAATTATATATTAGTCCATAGATGCATTAAAAAAAATAAACATAACAGTCTTTATTATTTTTTTCTTTACTCTGTTGACTTCTGCAAATTGTGTTTTTCTCTGGCTTATTATTTTAATGTTTAGAGTTTTTTGTCTTTAATGATGATTTACTACTAATTACTTTTCATTGCTTGTAATTCTTAGAGAACATGCCATTCTAATCCCATTGTGCTGCTTAAACATTTTTATTACCGTATAAATAGCATTTTTATGAGAATAGTTATTGAAGCGTGATAAGCCAATCCTAGTTGAAGGGTGGCATGAATTATTATGGGCCCACAGAACTCTTGTAGTAAGAGAATCCTGTGGCCACAACTGGCAACAGCAGGCCTTGCTTTTGTCTCAACATTTTGTCCCCTCTGGTGAAGATGTCCCACTGCACAAGTTCAGTGCCACTTCTGATACCCAGAGTGTATCTCCTTCCTCTTAGGGGGCCTCCCCTCTCAAGCTGTCTACCCCAAACCAGTACTGCTAAACATCCTCTTGGCCAAACCCACATCCTTGCCCCCAAACAGAAAAGAAGACAAAGGGGAAGGTGCATAGGAGCCTGTATTACTGTTTCACTTGGTTCCATTGTTACTGTGTCCATCTTATTACTGTTGTCTGTGTGTTTTAATATCTAGAGCAGGATTCCAAGGCCAGGCCATTTAACCTTAATGATTTTATGCCTTTTCTCTGTAGTTTGTCAGTAGCGCTGCACTAATATAACTTGCCTTTGAGATTTCGAATTTTCAAGGCATATTTTTCTGCCATATATCTCAAAGCAGAGAAGGTGTTTTATTTGTCTGTTTTCAAGGAATAAAAGAAACAATGGGGAGTGGGGGAGGTAGGAAGGATAAAAAGCATGGAAGAAAAGAAAGTTGATGTTGATATTTAATGTTCCTATAGGACACTGGTAAGTTTGCTTAACGTGAGAAAATTTATTTTCAAATTGCTATGAGTAAAAACTAAATAGAATGTGAGAAGTACTTTTATTTTTTAAACAGGCTACCACTGTCACTTACAAATCACATTCCGAGAGCAGCACTTATTGAAGAGCAATGGATAAAGATTCTCCTATTTTAAAATCATAGTAGTGACTTTAATTTATTACCAGATGTTTGATACTTTGGCATATTCTTTTGGTTTAGAATTTAGGACTGAATCACTTATCCAGCACTTTGTAAATCTGTACATAGTAATTACTTGCCTGCATATAACTTAAAGCACAAAAACAGATCTATTTGGAATATGAAATGTGGAAGCATAATGTACTATATTTGCTTTTTCAATAAGAAGAGTTTCGGGGTACCCCGATACATACGGTTTTGGTAGTTCCTGCCTCAGTTTCTTTATTATAACATAGATACAGATTTCCTTCTGCTAGGAATTTGGTAGATTATACTGCTTTTATGAATTTTAGGATAAACAAAGCTATAATACCACCATCACAGATGACCAAATAAAAATACATTTAACCCAAAAATTATACTAGAAGATTATTTAACTTCCACTTGAATCACAAGGCCCTTAAAGATAGTTCAGTGTTTTATAGTCATTATTGCACATAGCACTGTAAAATTCCATTATTTTAGGAGAGCATTCTAGTTAAGAGAATATCTTATTTTGAGGCTCAGCAACTCGTTCATTGTGGCCATGTTACACGTGAGAATTCAGTGATAAAGGCGATGTCATGTTTTATCCTAGTCTTGACTAAACGCATTATTTGCAGTAATGGTAACTTCTGCAGTTTTGTTTTGGATCATATTTACCTATGCATACCTTTTTATATATTACGTACAGGCATACCTCAGAGGTTTTGTGGGTTGGGTTTCAGACCACTGCAGTAAAGCAAGTACCACAATAAAGTGCATAGCCATGCCTTGCTAGTGGAGGGTCTTGCCTTCAGTTTGTAAAAAATGCAACATCTGTGAAGCACAGTAAATCAAAGCGCAGCAAAACCAGGTGTGCCTGCACATACACATCCCGTCCACTCAACAAAGAGGACTTCACCAGCTCCTAAGAGTGGGACCTGGTGTTGAGCCTGAGTGGGTGGTGGAGGTGACTTAGATGTGATGTCCTCAGAGTGTTCCCAGTCACAGGAAGGAAGCAAAGGTGTGTATACCTGATAGAAGTCAGAGTGATGTGAGAGGTTTAAAAAGGTATGAAGTTTTGCTCGAGTATAAGATGTAAAGGTATGTAGTTCATGGATGATCAAGCTGAAGAGCGCAGAGGCAGCTCAGCAATGAGGGATTGTGAATACCAGCTAAGGAGCGTGCATATTATTCTGTGTGCTTTGAAGGGTCTTTAATAGGAAGGTAACTGAAAGCATTGCATACAGCTGTTTCAGAGAGAAGACAGCCTAAAGATAGACTAGTGACCTATTCCAAAAGTTGGTCTGAAGGCAGTGAAGACCTGAGATGGGATAGTGTTAACGAGGGTACAAAGGAACGAAAGAAAGAGCGGTGGTGGTGTAATTGGCAGAATTTGCCGATTGCCAGAATACGAAGGTAGAACTCAAAATGATTCCATGGTCGCTAAAGTAGGATGTTGGTAAGAGTAAGGAACAGAAAAGGCAACGAGAAAGAAGTTTTGTTTTGGACATACTGACTTCCAGGCACCCGTGCGGGCAGGTCTAGCAGACAGTCGCCCTGTGGCCCTGAAATACAGGAGGCCTGAAGGGCGCTGGACTCGTAGTGGAAATCCGCAAAGAGAAGAGAGGCGGGGCTGTGGCAGTAGACGCTATTGGCAGGCAACGCTGAGTGTGTTAGCAGTGCTGCTGGAGTCCGCGGCATAACCTGGGTTTCAGGGATGCAGTGTAGCCAGGAGGTCAGGGGCATGGACTCTGGAACGAGAACTAGGTTCAAACCCAGCTCTACCACAAGGTCTCTGTTACTCTGGCAAGTTCAGTAACTGTCCTGGAGACCTCCTGGGTGGAGCAGGCACTAGTGCCGACCTGAGTTGACAGACGGATGCACGCGCACAGCCTAGACCTCTGCAGAGAGGAAGCTGTCAGTGATGTTACACCTGAGTGGGTGCAAGGGAGCAGTGGTGGGTATATACGCAAATGTGGTTATATTCAGAACTTACTGTAATCTTCCAGTTTATTTACATCTCATGGTTTGAATTTATGAGACTCCAGATATAACTGGAGTTTCAGAATTAACATTAAATTTTTATACTTGATACAGTATTTTATTAGGTTTTATCCTATTTGTACCTAAGGATCTCAGCCAAAGTTTTGTTCACATTTTCAATCCAAACACAATAATTTAAAAATGTTCTTTTGTCTTGACTGTATCAAAGTAGTTTGTTTTTTTAACACTTAAATGATTGTTAAATAAATGTGTCACAGAATACCCACCAGTCCTATTCCCTGATTTGACGAACCCCAAAGCAGAATCATCTGATATTTCAAGACAAGAGAAAAAACAGGCTTTTGTTATTACTAAATCTTTTACACATAATATTTTTATTAGTGAAATTTAAATAAAAGGAATACTGAGCAAATATATTTTAAAACATTTAAAAATGGAACTGTGTTGTCTATTTTCCAAGCCTAAAATATTTGCAATTAAAATTATGAATGTGTCTAATCCTAACAGTAAAAAACCAAATTACTTGTAATTTTAATATCTTACTGAAAGCTTTTTGTTTTGTTTTTTGAGGAAGAGCCAGTTTAAATTTGTGGCCAGAATAAAGTGATACAGGTTTCCTTATAGTCTATAAAGTAATGTAATAAAACATTTATGCATTAAAATCTATTAATTTTTTAAATATTTTAATTGAATATAATTAAAAGATAGACTACATTTGGGTGTGTGAATGGAAGCGAGCTTTGAAAACACTAAAATAGCTTTTGTTTTGGAGAAAAGACTAAAGAGATAAAAGTTACTTTATCAGACAATAAGATAAATCTGCTCAATCACTTATAAGACCTGATTTATTGGTTCAAAATAGCTGAAGTCTAGATCCAGCTGTTTCTATTATTCTGCTGGGCTAGGCCATCTCCAAACATCAAGTGAAGGATAGAACGCCTGTGCTCATGTTCAAATGACGGCTACTCTTCAGTTTGTTTAGTTTTTCAACATTTCCTGGTGCTTTCATCTTATTCTCTGACCTCAGGGCACCTTGTGCTACTTCTCTGCATGTATTTGCACCATCTCAAATACTGTTCATTGAACAAGTGCTTTCCTGTCAGATGGCCAGACCCTCTTCTTCTAACCTGCAGACTTTGCGTCTCTGGTGGAAATGGAATGTTTAATGTGTTTCCCATTAAATGTTTCTCATTCAACTAGGAAATGTTTATTGATGGCCAACAGCGTGCTGAGACTTTCAAATGTATCTTCTTACCATTACTTTTTATTTATGACTTGCTCAATTTATTTGAAGCATATTCATAAGCCTAGTTTTAAGATTCTCTCTACATTTCACCAAATATAACTTAGCTGTGGTGCTAAGCTAGCATTTGGAGTCAGTTTCATTGTCAATAATGAAGAGTGTCTTTTTTTTTTTAAATAATTAAATCTCTACCTCTTTTGATGGCCAGAAATTGATTCCATGTACGTTATTCTTCTAGTTGGGCCACTCATTAAATTACTTTGCCCAAGAGAAGTCTCCAGTTGCAGCTCATTATTACCCCACCCTAAGCCAGTCTTTTGTGGCTCAGATTACCAATTTGTCCCAATTCTCCATGCTTTCATCGAATGTCCGCACAGGATGTGGTTTGCCTTAATTATTTCATTAGGGTTTCGCACTATTGGATCAAATGCCACCAACATATGATAAATACTACTGGCAGTTTCCACCAAAAGAAGAGGAAGATCTGAAGATCTTACCAGTAGGAAACTTTTTTGTGAGCCTTCCCTGTAGTTTATACTTAGGCCAAATATATGAGTTAATCATTTTTTTTAACTCCTTACCTGAGGATATGTTTATTGATTTGGGGGGGAGAGAGAGAGAGAGAGAGAATGGTGTGAGAGAGATACATCAATTAGTTACCTCCCATACGTGACCTGACTGAGGACCAAACTCACAACCCAAGTATGTGCCCTGACTGGGAATCAAACCCGAAAGCTTTTGGTGTAAGGGATGATGCTCCGACTAACTGAGCCATCTCGCCAGGGCATGAGTTAATCTTTTAAATCTGTTGAGACCTTGACTTTTTCTGATGCTTTATTCAACTTAAGCTTTTCTGGAGTGACCCCTAAGTGTCTGTTCTTAAACTAATTTTATATTTTATCACTCATGTCATTTTAAAACTAGACTAAATTATTTATTAAAAGCTAAGTAATTAGCCCTGGCCGATTTTGCTAAGTGGTTTGAGCGTTGGCCTGAGGACCCAAGAGTCCCGGGTTTGATTCTGGCCAAGGGCATGTACCTTGGTTGCAGTTCATCTCCAGCCCTGGTTGGGGTTGTGCAGGAGGCAACCAATTGATGTGTCTCTCTCACATCGATGTTTCTCTCTGTCTCTGTCTCTCTCTCCTCTCTCCTCTCTCTCACTCTCTCACTCTCTCACTCTCTCTCTCTCTCTCTCTCTTCCTCCTTCTCTCCCTCCTGCTCTGTCTGAAGATAAACAGAATAATATCCTCTGGTGAGGATTTAAAAAAAAGCTAAGTAATTAAAGTTGTGGTTAAAATAATCTTTTATCCAATACAAAAGCAACAGGAAGTTTGATTTGTTGTCATTAGCTTCAATGTTAGTATTATAAAGCTGTTATATACTTCATTCATAGCTCATCAGTTGCTTTTTTGCAAAAATAGGTAACCTCATTGTAATGGTTTTCATGTATAGCCTTTGGAAATCTACTTGCATATAAACACTTTTGAAAGTTAATATGCTACTGCAAAGATAAAGTGGACTTTATCCTTCCTTTCATAGTTAATTTAAAACCTGAAAGTGTTTATGTTGCTGGCAGTTTAAATCAATCGCGTCTGATGGTTTGTTCCTGTGATTGCTTTTAGATCACACTAGCAAATATTGCACATTTACTAGGGCATGCATTTCGCAAGGACTCTGATTTTCAATATTTCTTTTAAACTTCCAGTATACTCCAAGCCTATTTTTAATACATTTCCCCCCTGTATTTAACCCTTTGGTGAAAAAATAACTTTTCATTGGTTTAGATAAGAGTGATATTGCTGAGACCGTTTATGTAAGAAAATCCCAAACTTCATGTTACCCCACCTTTTTACAAATAATGAATATTTATTTCACAAAAACTGTTGATATTGGACCATGGGTTCTGACACTCAGGAAGACAGAAAACTGGCACTGATGTTATATAGAGAGCTTAACTCTTAATCTGTATTTTCTTCTTTTGGGACTATTGTCCTAGTTACATTTTGTAAAAAGGAAATGAAATTTGAAAATGTCTATTAGTTTTTCAAAATTGAAGTCTTGGGTTTTATTGGTATTGCAAATGAAGCACATAGCTTGCAAAACTCTTAATAAAATGCATTTTATTTATTTTTAATTTTTATTTTTGGATATGTTTTTATTGATTTTAGAGAGAGATGAATGGAAAGAGTGAGATGAAGAGAAACCCATCTTGGGGGCGGGAGGTGGGTGTCAAACCTGTAACCTGGGCATGTGCCCTGACCAGGAATCAAACTGGCGACTTTTTGATGTACAGGATGGCACTCAACCAACTGAGCCAGATGGGCCATGGCTAAAATGTGTCATTTTAGAATTTCCTCTGCTACCAGATTTGATGGTGTGGAGATTGAGAGTAAGAACAGGCATTATAAGCCTGGAGTTTAGAGAAAGAACACAGATACAAAAGATGTAAAGAAATGCATTATTATAAAATATTCTTTAACCATAATCCAGAAGCATCAAGAATCTGTAAGCTTAGATTTAACAATCATATGAATAAATTCATACCCTATATTGGATCACATGATTCTGCTTTTTCAACTTGAAGATATTCATAAATTGTTTTGTTTTGTTTTTATAATTTGCCTTTTACTAATACTGGTTTTCATAGATGTTGAGATTTTTAAGCAATGTGGATTTAAATTAATTTAATGATCTACATTATTAAGTCAATTTTGAGATAGGCATTGCCGTGCAAAGAAACAGCTAGCGTATACACAGCATGCTTGCAAATTAAGGCTTTTTTAGTGCTTATTGACTAAACAGTATTATGTTGTATACACATTCAATTGTTCATTTTAGTACAAATTTACTGCATAATATGTTGAGCTTGCTGTGGTGTGTGGTTTTTCTAATTATACTGCTTTCTACAAATGTCAGAAATTTCACTGTACAAATGTCTGCATAAAAACTTTAAAGAACAGATAGATTTTTGTATAAGCTGGTGATTATTTTTTATCTCATTAAGCCTGGTTATTCTGTTTCTCGTCCCTGTTCTTTCATTTCAGGAAAGTGCAAGAATTTAATATATTACCTAAGGGAACACTTGAAACCCTTTCTCAAAAGAATTACATCAACAGTTAACAAGTTTTTTTAAATTATACATGGAATGGTAACATCAGATGTAACGTGACGTAAAAAGATGTAGTTAGACCACTTATTATTTGTGACCTTACCCAAAAAAATGGTCACATAACCTCTTCTAAGTCTCATTTTTCTCATCTGTAAAACAAGGTGATTAATACCTCTCTTACAGGTGGTTGTGAGAATTAAATGAGTTGATAAATATACAGCTTTTTAATGGTGCTCATTATATTATAATGGGTTTTGATTATATTATAATATATTTTATTATAATGATGCTCATTACATTATTCTAAACTTATTAGGACAGGGACCTAACTGCTGCTTCCCCGCTGTAGCTCTTAGGGCCTCACACAGTGCCTGGCACATAATAAGGGACCATTAAATATTTGCACTGGTAAATAAAAAAGGAATTGACCACGGATTGCGTTTTTGGGGGCCATAAGCCTCAACTTAGCTTCTCTTTTTAAATTTATAGTTAGATTTTTATGTAATTACTGCATTCCTTGGAAGTCTTTCAAGCTCACATTTTGCATAAGTTTAAAAAAAATGCTACATTGTACTCTAGATTTTGAAGTTGCAAGGAGCTCTCCCGTGTACTTTTAGATGGTTCTGTCTTTCTAATCCTGCCCTGTGGAAGTGGCCAAAAGTGAGTCCGTGTGCAGCAGATGCATAACTTAGGAAACTTTTGAGACTCATGGAATTGCCATCTTTTGGAGAAAAATATTAATATCAATGGTAAATTTTGTAAGTTCCTCCCTCTTGAAACACAGCAGTAAAAGAAAAAACTTTTTTTCCCCTTTGATTATCACTGATAACAGTTATTCAGTTCTTCATTTCATGTGGATGATAACACAAATAAATGGCTTTGTGGAAATGAGCCCCTCACCTGGGGTCTGGTCCTGCCTTCGCTACCTTTAAGTTGTGTGGTCATGAGCAAGCCGCTCAGCTTCTCTGAGAATGTGTCCTATTCATAATCAGTTAGATAAGTCCCACCTCACAAGGACTTTGTGACCCCCCAAATGACGTGTGTACTAGGAAGAGAGGTACGTAGTAGGTGCTTGCTGGAGTCCTTACCCTCTGGTACCATAGACTCCTGTGGCCATCAGGGGGCGCTTCTCCGGATAATCTCTCCAAATGCATCAACACAAAGTACTTACAATAACAAAGAATGTAATTATATCGAAATACTGTATAGTTATCAAAATATCATTGAAGTGATATGGTAATAATTGGTTCTTTGTTCAAACACCCAAGTGAACATCATTGCTGTGACTTTAATGACTGGTAATTTTGAAATAGTGATGACAATGTTTTGAGATATTAGTGGCAACTCCAATGTGATTTCTGTTGGTGTCAAAAATCACCAGTATTGGTTATACTACTATTGTTTGTTGCTTGTATTTATAACTGAAAGAAATGCTAAGGTTCTGTTAGAGGTTAGTGAAATAGCATGGTAATGCTTTTTCTTAGCCAAGTGTATTAAAAAGACACGTCACTACCTCAGGATGTTTAATGTATATTTTTCCAAACAACAATTTGAGATTATATGGAATTTAGTTTCAGTTTTTGAATTAAAGTTTAAGATTTTTGAATATCAAAATAGTTAATACCATTTCCAATGAATCTGAAGTTTGGGGTACAGATCTTTAGATACACAGCTTATGTGACTGGTTCTGTGATAAACGATTGTTTCTAGAGCTGTTATTTAAAAGGGATTAAACTTCTTTTCTAAAATCACCCCCAGGATCAGCCAAGACCTTGCTCTCATTGCTCGGGAGATCAACGACGTGGCAGGCGAGATCGACTCGGTGACGTCCTCCGGCACGGCGCCCAGCACCACAGTAAGCACTGCTGCCACCACCCCTGGCTCTGCCATAGACACTAGAGAAGAGGTAGGAGACCCTCATGGAGAAGTGCATAAGGTTCTTTCTTTTCTTTATTTCTTTTGCTTTTAGCCTTTTGCTTAATTTATTTTACTTGCGTCCGCCCTCCCTGTTTGCATGAAGCTCTGCATTTCCCATCTTTGCGTTAACAAATCGCTTTGATGTTTCTGTAACAGCACTAGTAAAGGCTAACATTTGGTCTGCTGTTCATAGGAAGTTGTGATGTAATAGTATTTTGCTAATTATTGCTGCATAGTTTAACTTAAAATATGACCATAGATGGTATGTGCAAAGCAAACCAGAATTTGATAAATTGGTGTGTAAAGTCTGGCTATGAAAATACTTCAGTTACAAAGTATTTTCGTAGCTAGTTAACGAGGAGATAGCTCTAAAAGCAAAGAAAGAAAAATTTACAGTTTCACTACTTTATTTATTTTAATATTCTGCTGATAAATATACACACTCACAAACATAAATACATACACGGATACTTTGAAAATTGAATTATTTTTGTATATGCACGTACACACACACAAATTCAGTCTTGAAACGTTCTTGTGAACTCTGGGATGTAAATTAGCAAATGGGCTCTAAAACCAGGGCTCCTGCTCTCCAGCTCCAGGGGGCACCGTTGACTCACCATTGCTGCAGAAGGTACCCTCAACGTAATACAGGGTTGATGGTGCTCTGGTCCTGTTGGCTGGCTGGATTTGGTGTAGAAACGCAAGCAAAAGATTGGCATTCGAGAGAATGAATTACAGTTTCATTAGGACAAAGCCACACTCGTTGTTTCATTATCTTCTGGCTGTTCTGTGCTCTGTGTCAGAATCGAGTAGTGGGATGGAGACTGGGTGGCCGCAAAGCCTAAATTATTTGTTCTCTGGCCGTTTACAGGAAAAAATTGCCAGCCTTTGATATTAATGATTCCACTGCCTTAATTTATCAAATATATTCTCAATAGTAACCACAAATGGCTAGCCTTTTTGACAAATTTAATTCTGATAAACTATGCTAATAACACTGCCTTCAGTTGCTTCTTGTCACATTCCTTTTCTAATCTAATTCTTTTTTGGTTGTTTTTCCCTCCTTTATGTGTTGTCTGATTTGGTAAATAATGCTTCATCAACCTGTGTAGTTTTGTTACCACATTGATCGATGGTAAATGTGTATAAAATCATCCTTACTGGTGGAAAACAAAAGGATCTTCTTGGTGGCAAGACGTACACAATTCTCTTGGTACATCTAAAATGATAAAGATAATATTTTCTCAGCTATCTAACTACATTTTATCTAATACGATTATACATCACTCACACCCAGTAAAATTATTCAGACATTTCACTGAATAGACTTTCATTCATCTTTTTTGTTTTATTTTCTTAATATTACACTAGAGTTTACTCCTTCTTCAGTAAACCCGCGTTACTTTGTATTGTACGTGTATAATGTGCACTGTAGGTGGCAGTATATCCTTTTTGTTGGAATATACAATTTCCATAACACTGTTAAAAAGACCAAAATACTTATTTTGTGGATTTAAATTTTTTCCTTTTGTAAACTTAATTGGAATTTGCAATTTATGTATCTGTGAAGAAATTTAGCACCTGGATTTGGGGAGGAAAAAAAAAGAAAAAAACAAGATAGGAAACTAAGAGAAAAAGAAACATTATTTTACGCTGGTAAGGCAAAGTGAGTAAAATGAGCTCCTGTCCATCCACAGGGCTCAGCCTTCTCAGTTTACCATCTGTTTCCATTTGGGGGAAATCTTACCCCATGGGAGAATCAAATTTATAACAGCTATGTATTCTGGATTTTGAAAATAAAATCTATGTAGATGAACACCTATTTTAGAAAACGGACACCTTTGAAGTGCTTATGAAAAGAAAGAGTAATTGGTTTATTGAAGACGTCATGCTTCTGTACTACCTGAGAATGCAATAACTTCTGTCTAATCATAAAAAGTGATCATGCCCATATCTGTGCTTTTCCAAATAATTCTCACACGGCTTTGCTCTTGTCCTATTAGTTGGTTGATCGGGTTTTTGATGAAAGCCTCAACTTCCGAAAGATCCCCCCATTAGTTAATTCTAAAACACCAGAAGGAAACCACTGCCGGCCCAATGAGTCAAGACCTCCAGCCGCAGAGCCTCCGGACCACTTAACCATCACGAGGCGGAGAACCTGGAGCAGAGATGAGGTAAGCACCCCATAGACATTCTCAGATGCAGCGGAGGGGTGTCCCGTCTGTGGGGAGAGGAGGAACTGGTCCATAACTAGGACTGGGCGAGCAGTGCGTGTTTTTATGGGTGGAATGAAATTTCATCTTGACATTGCCTCATATACAAGTAACTCCAAATGAATTAAGTTTCTAAAGGGTAAAAGCAAAACTTTAAAACTTTTAGTAAAAATTATACTAAACATCTTTCAATACTACAGTAGGGAATGATTGCTTAAAAACACAAACAGCCCGGGTTTGGTTCTGAGGTCCAGAGAGACCCGGGTTTGGTTCCCACTAAGGGCATGTACCTCGGTTGCAGTTTATCCCTGGCCCTGGTTGGTCGTGCGGGTGGCAGTCACTCAATGTGTCCCTTTCACGTTGATGTTTCTCTCTCTCTCTCTTCCTCCCACTCTATCTGAACAAAAAATGGAAAAAAAAAAATGTCCTACGGTGAGGATAAAAAAAATAAAAACACAAACAGTTTTTACTTTTTTTGTTTGGTAGGTGGAACCGAACCCAGGACTCTCTGGTCCACAGGCCAATGCTCCAACCACTGAGCCAAACTGGCCAGGGCAACAGTTTTCACTTTACATAATTGATAAATTTGAGCATATTAAAGGACTGTGATGAAACATACAGACAGCAAAGGATTAGTGTCCAGGATATATATGAAGAATTCTTACCAATCAATGAAAAAAGACAAAACAACCCAAAAGAAAAATCTGTTTAAAAAAACACCACGAACAGGATTTCACTGAAGGGAAAATATCTAAATGCTAACAGGAATGATACATAGAAGTGGCACAGGTACCAACTTAGGGGGTGGGTAGAAGGAGAATAAAGGGGCAGTTGGGTTTGATCCTAGGTTGGCATTTGCGGACCTCTGGATTTCAGGGACACGAGCTAAAAGTTTGTATGCGTGAATACGTACGTTTGCAGTAGCAGCGAGTGGGGAAATCCAGCTGAGGAAAAGCATGTAGCTGGCTCCGCGGTGCAGCTGCAGGGTCCTGGGTGGTCTTACAGCACTGTCTCTCTGGCCTGATAGTTGATTGGTTGTCCTTGGTGCCAGAAGTACCCATTCGCTAATCGTACCTGTAGTCATTCTGTTCTAAGGTCTAGGAAGATCAAGTCCTTCAAATGTAATTAAACTATGTGGAAGAAGTTTATATTTTTAAAGAGAATGGGAACATCTAGGTTGATAGTTATCTCAAGGTTAATATGAGATGATCTTTAATATATTGTGACACTGAACTGCACTTCATGGGGGAGAAGAGAGAGATCCTGTTCTGTTACAATCTTCCCTTAGACTGCCTTGCCCTTTCTCACCTCATCCTTACACCAAACAAAGGCGTAGCATTAATGTTAGTGGATTTTGTTTTTTTTTTAACCCTCACCCAAGGGTATTTTTCTATTGATTTTCAGACAGAGTGGAAGGGGGAGGGAGGGAGAGAGTAATATTGACATGAGAGAGACACACCGACTGGTTGCCTTCTGCACGACCCCAACCAGGGCCAGGGATTGAACCACAACCAAGGTACGTGCCCTTGACTGGGAATCAAACTCATGACTCTTTGGTCCACGGGCCCACACTCTAACCACTGAGCCAAACCAGCCAGGACACTCTTCTTAATTTCCATATTCATATTATTTGATGAAAGAATAGCTGGCAAATTTAGCATTCTGAATTATTTATGTTTTCCCTTTTATGATAATTTCGTTGGAGGCACGAGAGACAGGATCATAATAGTAATTGATGGTAGGATAATGTGGATTAATGTTTGAAAGTGATATGACCAAAACAATATGGGAACTTCACAAGTTATATAATAAAAGGGAACTCTTGCCAACATTTATTTCTCTCTCTCAGTGTAGTTATACATTACTCTAATGATATTCTTCATTGATCTTTTATTAAAACTGGCATAAATACTAAATGCCCTAAATACAGCGAGCTGTGGCTAGAGTTCTTGGTGATGGCGCCGTCAGTGGGGATGTTTCAGTGTCTGCTTTTCTCTCTGGCTGTTCCAGGTCATGGGAGACAACCTGCTGCTGTCCTCGGTCTTTCAGTTCTCCAGGAAGATCAGACAGTCTATAGACAAAACAGCTGGGAAGATTAGGTACTGTTTTGTTACTCAAACCGCCTTTCTTATATTGCTATGTTATTAAATTATTTTTATTGATTTTTAGAGAGAGAGGATCACTCAGCTGCCTCCCACACACCCCCTACCAGGGATCGAGCCCACAAACGGGGCACACGCCCTGACCAGGAATCCGACCTGCGGCCTTTCAGGGCGGGGGACGGCGCCCAGCCAGCCGAGCCACGCCCGCCAGCCTTGGGTCGGCAGTCTCCTCGCCCACGTGCCCAGCCTGCCGCCACAGTGCAGTCGGGCACGTCTCAGCGAGGAAGGCAGCATGAAGGGGACAAAGAAAGAAATGACTCAGATAATTAGACCTTTATAATTGAAACTAAACAGCTCTAATCACTTAGGTTAATTTTATTAGTAAGCAGAACCAGTTTTCTCATCCACATTATAATGGTTAGTATTTTAGATTAACAGACTTTGGGACTTCTTTTATAAGACCTCAGATTTCAGTTTCAGCCTCCTCATTAAGTAAAGGGGACAGTATGTGTGCCTTTTAAAGAATTAGAAAATTTATATAAAAAGACTTCAGGTGAAATATGTATGGTTTAACCATTTGAAGCACAAGCGCTGTATGGCTGAGCACAGACTTCCTGTATAGTACGGTTCGTTGTAGTCCTAAGTGGGTCCCACCAATCCTAATGCTGTTGGACTCTTACAAGCACATCATAATTCACTTATGCCGTAACATCATAGTCATTAGGACAATGGCTCTTAGTTGGCTGGTAAGGATGTTTATTTGGGAGATTTAGAAAATTCAACAGTAGATCAGAATGTCCTTATATCAGATTATAGATGCAACATGGTTATGTGTAAACGTAGATGTTCCAGACTTGATTTGATTTTGATGAATTTCTGTTTTTTATGTTTATTTATTTTGTGTTAATCCTCATTCAAGGATTATTTTCCCCCCATTGACTTTTAGAGAGAGTGGAAAGGAGGGAGGGAGGGAGGAAGGAAGGGAAAGAGAAATATCTTTGTGAGAGAGACACATAGATTGGTTGCTCCCGCATGACCCTGACTGGGGCCAGGGATCAAACCTGCAACCCAGGTATATCCACTTGACCGGGAATTGAACCTGCAACCCTTTGATCCGCAGGCCAACACTCTAACTGCTGAACCAAACTGGCTAGGGCAAATTTCTTGTTTTTAAATCAGTTAAATCTGGCATATTGATCTTTGAAGAAATACAAATAAGTAATGTACTTATCTATACAGTGTTGATGTTTATATAAGGCAGTTAAACTAGATTTCCAGGCTCAATAAAGAAATTTTAAAAGAAAACAAAAGAATGTCTAATTTTCACATCTCTCTCAAACTGCTGAGTCATGTCTCAGATTCCAAAGTATTGGGAAGAGAAAGATACCACATTTGAATGACATTTGTGGTATTTTATAAGTTATAACATATTTGAGTTTAGTTTCTAATATAAGGATAATTATCTTTATTGGAGATTGCTTTTATCAAAAGGATAATGTTTTAACTCCTAACAGGAAATTATGCACAATATGTTAACATGAATTAAAATTTTTAAAGAAAAACAGAGTAAGCTCTTCAATTTTTTTTAATCTTCACTGAAGAATATATTTTTACTTATTTTATTTTTTTATCCTCACCCGAGAATATTTTTTCCATTTTTTGTTCAGATAGAGTGGGAGAGAGAGAAAGAAACATCGACGTGAAAGGGACATATCGAGTAGCTGCCACCCGCACGACCCAACCAGGGCCAGGGACAAACTGCAACCAAGGTACGTGCCCTTAGCGGGAACCGAACCCTGGTCTCTCTGGACCGCAGGCCGACACTCCAACCGCTGAGCCAAACCGGCCAGGACTATTTTTACTGATTTTAGAGAGAGAAGAAGGAAGAGGGAGAGAGAGAGAGAGAGAGAAACATCAAAGTGAGAGAGGAACACCGATCGGTTGCCTCCTTCACCCAACCCGGGATCGAACCGCAGCCTGGGTATGTGCCCTCACTGGGAATCAAACCTGTGTCCTTTTGGTGTACGGGAGGATGCTCACACCAACTGAGCCACACCAAACAGGGCGAGCACTTCAATTTTTAACATTTAAAATAATGTTCACACACTGCTCAATCAATAAAATTCCTTTTCCTATATAAAGAGGTCTTGAGACATAATTATTCATACCTACTTCAACCTATTTTTATCTTAATTTCATCTTATGTTTATACCACATAGGTTCTGTCTGAACAAAGTTGTGTTTTCTGGTGATTAATTACAAATATCGGAAAGAATTTTTTAGGTTATATCATCATCTACATTTGTTTTCTATAAAGAATGATATAAATACATAAGAGTTTATGTGTATATTCATATCCACTCAGTTATTTTTTAAATACAGATCTCATATAAATGAATTCATTGGTAACGACTCAGTATTTGACTTGCAGTTATGTAACATTTAGTGATTTCATCCTTGTATAGCTTTGAAAAGATACATTGCTTTGATATTAAAAATATGATAGGTTTCTAAATATGAAAAGTAAAATGTTTTGGTTGTTTGATTTATAGAATATTATTTAAAGATAAAGATCGGAATTGGGATGAAATAGAAAGCAAGTTGAGAGCTGAAAGTGAAGTTCCTATTGTGAAAACCTCAAGCATGGTATGGTCACTTTTCTTGACTATTAAAACATTTTAGTAGCTGTGTTTTATTTAAGGGAATATTATGCTTATTTTTGAGCTATTTGTTGATATACATTTTTAAAGGATGATATAAATGCACCTTTTAGAAGTCTTATGCCTTAAACTGGCTTTCACAGAAGTTTAAAATATTGATTCAAAGTTGCAGAGAGTATGAAGGAGGAACCGTTTATGTTTCTTACTATTATGCATTCTTGTTCTTGTAGTAATTATACATTATAAGTAGCCAGTTTTGAAAATAAGTTGACATGAGTCATTTCCATTTGCTTAATAAATTGCTTATCTCCTCCTCAAAAATTTTTATAGTTTTTTTATTAATCAAAGTCATCCTAAAACTGGGATTGGAAGCTTATACGTTTTCCCAAAGAAAATCAAATCTTTAGGCACCATTACAAAGTTGTAACAGGGTAGATACTAGTTTTTATTTTGAACTTTTCATCTTCTGTCATTATCTCATTGGAAAAAGTAATTTTATTTTTAAATTAATTTAAAGATTTTCTAATTTGAATCTTGTTTACCAGATACCCTAATTATTTTATCTCTCATTGCTACAAATGCAATACCATGTATATAATGTCAGGGATTCCAAATAAGATGAGTCTGAGGGTCATTGCCTAGCAAATAGAGAAACTGTTCATCTAGTAAGGTGATTTTGTCACTGCTTCCCCCACAGGAGATTTCTTCCATCTTACAGGAGCTGAAAAGAGTTGAAAAACAGCTACAAGGTAAATTTACTACCGAACTAAATAGAAAGAGCTAACAATTTAGGACAGTGCATGCCAACTGGTATTTCTTAGAATATCCTTATTATTAAACCATTATTTGATTAACTGTAATGACATGGATAAAAATACAGAGTTGTACATATCCAAATTACTTATAAAAAGAAAGTTTAAAGCCTAGTAGAAATAATTAAAAAGATAATAAAGTTAAATCTTGGGCATGTTACTAGATGTTATAAACTAATTTACAGTATTATATGTATTACTTATTATATATATGAATACTAATATATGAAAACTATATAAAATAATGTATTAAAATATGTGCATGCAGCTGAAAATGCTTACTGGCAGCATTATTTATTTGGTTTGACAATTCTTAAAATATATTTGTGGTTTAGCCCAAATGAACTAGTCTTGTAACACAAATGACAGTTGTTTGGATGAACAACAAGAAATGGATCATCATGTTGGCCATAGGGACCGGAAGAGGGAGAGGAGGAGGAGGCCGTTTGTCTCCTCAGCTTTGACAGGGACATGGCCTCGGTGTGTGTCAGATCTCAGTCATGCATTAATGCCTTGGATGTCTTGACCCAGAAGTCCCAGTGGTGCAACAAGCCAATGCCAGGGCGAACTACTGCTTCTACTCCATTTTTATTGCTTGAAGTATCGTAGGCATGGTATCTTAGTCCTACCTAAGTGCTTCTCAGTCTGTGCTCAGCCTCAGCACACCTACGGGTTTGGATACCCCATGAGTAACAGTGGCTTGCTAACGTCATGATGGTTTGCTGGCAGAATGGGGGTATACTTTTAGGACCTCTTAAATGATTCTGGGGTCTGTGGTGCTTCCTTCTCCCAAGTCCCCACTCTACCCAATACTAAGCTGAAAATCACTGCCTAAGATTTTTCCTCGTCCAAAGATCTTTTGGATTGAAACTGGTTGTAACTGGTCCCTCCCTGGAGGTAGCCAGGTCTGCTGGGCCTGCTGGGGCTTCCACAGGATGTCAGCGTCAGGCTGCGAGGGTCCCTGTGGCTCAGGGGCACGTTCACGCTGCGCACGGCGGGTGTCCCAGCACTGCCCAGCCGGAGTGACGACGTGCTGTGGGCGCAGAGTGTGCCATGTAGTTCCGTCCCCCACCTCAGTCACCGCAAACCCCCCGATAGTAACAGATCCCCGGTTATCTGAGTGATTGATACGGCTACAAGTGTTCATTAAAATGATAACCAATATTTTCTTGTATCCTCTTAAAATAATGAAAGCAGATTTTAAAAAGATCTTTTCTGAAGTCCACACCTCCAAATCCCAGTCTTCCAGCAGGCTCTGAAATGCCCGTACGTGAGCTCCTCAGGGTGCCGGGCAGAGACGTGTTCAGGCCCGTGTGGTCTAGATCAGCCCGAGAAGGGTGGACAGTATAGAAGGGAGTAGCCAAAGTGAAGCATCAAAGAGAAACATAAACAGTCGCAATATTATCCAGGTCAGAAGCAGTGTTCGTGTCCCAGCTGTGATGCATCGGCAACTGTCTTTCCCCCGTTCCTTTTCCTCCCTCAGCGATCAACGCTATGATTGACCCGGACGGAACTCTGGAGGCTCTGAACAACATGGGATTTCCCAATGCCATCCTGCCGTCCCCACCCAAACAGAAGTCCAGTCCTGTGAATAACCACGGCAGCCCGGGTCAGACCCCGTCACTTTGCCAGGCAGAAGCTAGGGGTCTTCATCCTGCCGCCATCCCAGGCTCCAGTGAATTTGAGAACGCAGAATCGGAGGCCGACTTCAGTATACATTTCAATAGGTTCAACCCTGATGGGGAGGAGGAAGATGTCACAGTACCCGAATGAATTGGCTTGAGTGGTAGGAAGTAATTTCCTGTGGGATGACTAGGAATGTCGGAAGCAGCAGAGTGTTGACTTGCACAAAACAAGACAAGCTTGGTCAAGTACCATCTTGCTCTCTCTGGATTTTTAATTTTATTTATTTATTTTTCCTATAATGTGGTGTCGTAGTCATCCTTTCAAGCCACGTAGGCGACCACTTGGTGCACATGTAGGAAAAAGCACATTGTGGCAATCTCATCGTTTATGGTTTCATGATTTTCAAACTGAGTTATATAATTGCATCCTCCCCCTTCACCGATCTTTGGGTTTTTGTTTTTTGGTTGGTTTTTTTTTTTTAAGCCGTGCTGTGACCTACAAGCAGACTAAATGCCTACCATTTCTGACCCCGTGTCTCCTGTGCCAAGCTGCTCCCAGAAATGGACTTTCTCTTCCTCTGTACAGATTTCTTAAACACTTATATTTGCTTCTTGATAATAGGATTTATATTAGTACTCATTACCATTGGATACAATGACATCTAACTCTCCACAGTCCAACTGACCTTTCAAAGCGGTCCTCCTTGTGTTCTGAAATTTTCTGACATATATGTGACTTATATAACTTTGTCGCTACATAAATCGTTTCGAGGTTTACGGAGATGAACTGTTATGTTTGCACTAAGATTTGCTGGGAGTGGTAGGTGGACATTATGTATCAGTGAGGACTAACCGCCTTCTTGTGTACATAGGGGACTGAGGAGCTGGGTCTGTTCTAACCCACAGCATTTGACTCCACTTTCAAAAAGATGAATTGGGCACTTTTTTCAATTTTCTTTCTCTTTTTTCTTTTTCTTTCTTTCTTTTTTTTTTGGAAGTAAAATTTTGTCTCTCATTTTAGGGCAAATGATAATTAGAAAGATTAAACTAGACAGATAGTTTAGGTGGAGTATATTTTTTAATCTAAGAACCTGTATATTGGTCCTGTGTTACCAAGTTTATATGTGACAGTTGAGAAAAAAAAAATCCCTGGAAATGATCATGAAGTTAACATTTTCTTCATTAGGAGACTTGGAGAACCAGTAGTCATAAGATTAGTTAGTAGTTTCACTCCTAAGCAGTGACTTGCTTCTGTGTGTTTCCCTGTAGGACCCCGTAGAAATCCTGTCCCAGCTTTTCTTACTCGTTTATAACGACCCGGCGAGACCACAGCGTGGGCTGTGGGCCTGTGCTGCTCAGCAGGAGCCTCCGAGAGTCTGGGGACTTCTCTTTCTGTCCCCGTAAGGTCACAGTGGGATACATTGTAAAAGAGAGCAGTTATCTTTGTGTTTCCAGAACACTATAATATGGGTGAATATTAATTCAGTTAAATATTATTAGGAGACTTGGAGTTTCCCCCTTGACCCCACCAGTCTATAAAGGTCAAAACTGCAATTTTTGCAAATGTGTGAAATGGTCTTTAATATTTCAGCAATAATCCTGTGCTACGTTCTTTTTCAGAAACGAACTCTGTACATGTCAGAACTTTACAGGATTTTACAAATCCTGAACTGCTGGGCCAGTCAATAAAGACGCAAAAAACAAACAAACATTGTTTATAGAGATGTGAAAAGTGTCTGCTGTATAATGGATCTCATATTTTTCTTTAATTTTTTTTAAAGGGTAAATGAACCATTCTCCTAGTGAAGCTAAATTCCCCGTTCTAATAAAGGAAAACTGAACAAAGGTTTTAAGGAACATGATTGGTACAAATGCTTTGAAGGAATAAATGAAACATTAAAACAGGGTCAGTCCATTTGAAGAAAAAGTCAAACAACGTAATCACCGTTGTTCCCTCTCTTACTGAATGTTTGGGTACGATTATATCCACGTGGAAGGAGAGGTCAGAAGTTATGTAGGAAAATATTAGCATCTGTCTACTTACATTATTGTTTAAGTGTTTACACAGTTTTGTTGAAATATAAACATTTGGCCTTTTACTATGTTATTTTTATTTTTTATGAATACATTATTCTCCTTATTTATTTTTGTTACATTTATTACCTATGTTATTTTGTTATGCATTTACGACTCCATTTTTAAATAAAGTGTTTCTGGAACTTTATACAGTGATTGTACATTTTATTGCTTATACCATCTGGATTGCTAATACTTTATCACTTTGCCAAATAGCCAGCTATGCACCATTTTCCAAAGCCCCACAGAAGAAAGAGGCTTCAACCCTAACTAATATGTGAGAGCAGCCACGAGGTAAGAGGTGAAGGCCGCCTATTTTCTTTTGACATTTCTAAGCATTTACTCCCAGACCAGACCTCAGGCCTACATGTCGGACCAGAACATCTGCCTGCAGCTCTCTGGGAACATCTGCCTGCAGGTCTCTGGGAACATCTGCCTGCTGGTCTCTGGGAACATCTGCCTGCAGGTGTCTGGGAACATCTGCCTGCAGGTCTCTGGGAACATCTGCCTGCAGGTCTCTGGGAACATCTGCCTGCAGGTCTCTGGGAACATCTGCCTGCAGGTCTCTGGGAACATCTGCCTGCAGGTCTCTGGGAACATCTGCCTGCAGGTCTCTGGGAACATCTGCCTGCAGGTCTCTGGGAACATCTGCCTGCTGGTCTCTGGGAACATCTGCCTGTAGCTCTCTGGGAACATCTGCCTGCAGGGTCTCGGGAACATCTGCCTGCAGGTCTCTGGGAACATCTGCCTGCAGGTCTCTGGGAACATCTGCATGCAGGTCTCTGGGAACATCTGCCTGCAGGTCTCTGGGAACATCTGCCTGCAGGTCTCTGGGAACATCTGCCTGCAGGTCTCTGGGAACATCTGCCTGCAGGTCTCTGGGAACATCTGCCTGCAGGTCTCTGGGAACATCGGCCTGCAGGTCTCTGGGAACATCTGCCTGCAGGTCTCTGGGAACATCTGCCTGCAGGTCTCTGGGAACATCTGCCTGCAGGTCTCTGGGAACATCTGCCTGCAGGTCTCTGGGAACATCTGCCTGCTGGTCTCTGGGAACATCTGCCTGCAGGTCTCTGGGAACATCTGCCTGCAGGTCTCTGGGAATGCCTTTGTTTCATGTGCTGTGTTCAGAGATGGGGCCCATGGCGGTGCCATTGTGCCTGCCTCAGTAGAAAACTGGCCAGTGGCTCGAGTCACAAGTAATCATAGGAGAAAGCCACTGAGTGGTCAGAAATCTTGCAACTAACCTTCGCTTCTTGTTTTGAGCAAGTGATTTCAACTGTTTCATTACGGGAAGTGGGGCGCGGGATTTGACTGGCTGGTCTCTAAGCTGATTTCTGCTCTATCAGCTTGTATCCTTTGGCCTTCAGACCTTGTGCTCGTTTCTCTCTTCCCCCAGGTGTGTGGCAGAGACATACTTGCTCTTCATAGTGATTCTGCTTCTCTTCCTGTCCCCTTAGTGAATGACTTGCCAGATGCTCACTCATTCATCCACATTAGTCCTTCCAGAAACCTCCAGTTCTGTTGCTTGATGATAACATTTTGCTCCTTCCACTTTTGCCCACATAAAGACTTCCAGTGGCTTGGGCGACACCAGCCTGTCCTGGGGACAAGGGCACCATTCCCAGGAAAAGGGCCTCGCACCTACGGACCCCTTCCATGTGGCAGGTCCCATGTGGCCAGGGCAGGACTCGAGGGTTCGTTTTCCCTCCTGCTTCCCCCTCCAGCCAGCTCGGAGTCTCCGGTGAGGACTAGCAGGAGACAGCAGAAGTGAACTCTGATTCTCTCTGGTTCTGCGGGAAATGATAGGACGTTTAGAGAAATGAACCAGCAGATGCTCAGGCTTTGAACGATGCCTTCAGTGGAATTTAAAAGGAGGAGGATTTCTTCCATTCTAGACAATGAGGACGCTGGGCCCCCCGAGAGGGGCGAACCTGCCGCAGCGTCACCCGGTGCCGTAGGAAGACAACAGCGTCTTCAGGAAAAACCGCCAGTGCCCCTGGGCAGTCGGGTCTGTGGGCGGCCTGGGAAGCCCCCGACTTGGTTACGCAGCGAAGCCACAGAAGACAAGACCAGCGGGTCAGTCAGGCCCCAGTGTCACTGTTGCAATTAGTTGTTAATAACAGGAAAGGAGCAAAAGGGAGGCCAGGCATGAAAAGCATGGCTCTTGCAATTCCACTCCCCAGGGAACCGCAGGTCCGGTTCCTGCAGATCCCTGGGGGAGGGAGGCGGAACTGTGCACAGCGAAGTTGGGGTGATACAGGGAAGGTGCCTGTCAGTCAAACCTGGGAACAGAGATCATTGGCTAGAAGGGGTGGAGCCAAAGCAAGACCCGAGAATTTGGGGATCCATAATCCCCAGACAAAGGAATTCTCTCTCGGCTCCTCCGGCTTTGTGTGTGCTTCCTGCACTTGCTGGTGTTCCCTCCAGAGCCCTGTCCTTCGAAGCCGCAAGGCCCTTGGCCCTGCAGTGGACCACAGCTGGGAACAAACCAAGCCGGATGCTGGGTCGGACTGTGCTGATACGGAGCGCAGACTCCGGGCAGCAGCTTTAATCCTGGCGGTGCTGAAGTCACAGCAGGGCTTCGCCATGGCAGGACGGAGGGCGGGGGCCCTGGACACTCAGCTGTAATTCCACACAGACGGGTGTCATTCATTCTCCCATCCAGCTCTCAGAAACTCTGTGATCTCACAAGAAGCCCACCTCCACCAGCCACCAGTGGGGACATGGAGAGCTCCCCACGGGTACCACCAGATGGGAGGCCTGTCATAGATGGCTTCTGCAGGTAGCTTGACACAGGGGTGCCTTTGGCCTGACCTGGGGGCAGGGGATATTTCAGAAAGGTTGAAGTCAAGTATCCTCTAGCCTGCAGTGATAGGGAGCTTGAAATGAAAGTTGAGATGGTTGGAGGAAATGTGATACTTCTTGCGTATCCAAGTTTGTGGATTGTGGGCTGATACACACACACACACACACATATATATCAAACTACGAATATATAGAAATATATTCATAGCTACATAGGTATAGAGAGAGCTCTTTCTCCTTAAGGGTATGTGGTTATAGATATAGTTTAACCCTGCAACAATATGACGAGGTCGTCTTTATTGCCATTATCTGGGTGAGGAATTTGAAACCCAGGCAGATTTGGTTATGTATGCACCCCCAACAACCAATTACATGAGCTGGTCAAAGCAGAGCCAGGACTTGAGCCCAGATCACCTGGAACAGTCTTGGCACACTAGTCACAGGCCCCCCTCTGACCCTCAAAGTGTGTCTGTCTGGATAACACATGCTCATCCAGGTGTGACGCCAACGGCGCTGTCCACCACCTCCTGCTGCCTCGTTCTCAGGAGCAGAGACAGGAGGGGAGGAGGGCACGACCCCACCAGCCGTGTACTGAGTCCTGAAGTCAGGACAGAGGTTGTCGCCTGAGGCAACTCAGAGAAAGGGTGACCTGGCTTGAGTTTGAGGAGAAAACAGGCTCTTTACCAGAAACAAGTTTAGATGTGGATCCTCAGGTTAATGAATCTCAAGCCTCATACATATTTCTTAAATACCTGGCTACATTGTCATGAAACTGTAGAACACCAAAGTCAAGGAGAAAATCTTAAAAATAATCAGAGAGAGCCCTGGCCGGTGTGGCTCAGCAGTTAGAGTGTCAGCCGCGGAACAAAATGTCATGGGTTCGATTCCAATCAAGGGCACTTACCTCAGTTACAGCTGTCACCGGCCCTGGTCGAGGTTGGCGGGAGGCAACCAGTCAGTGTGTCTCATATCGATGTTTCTCTCTCCCCTCCTCCCTCCCTCCCTCCCTCCCTTCCACTCTTTCTTAAAAAAAAAAAAAAAGAAAGAAAGAAAGAAATATCCTCAGGTGAGGATTAACAACAAAAAAGTTGTTCAGATGGGATGCAACAATAAAAGAAAAAAGAAATCATTCATCGCATGTTTTCTTCATGTTCTAATTTCAATGAAGCCCATAAATTTATTCCAGGGTGCCTAATTTTTACCTCGAACCATGACAATCTATGTAACTAAATAAATAAATAAATAAATCTCTCAAACAAAAACTCTCAAATAGAGCCCTGACTTCAAGGGGCTGAAAAGAAAATGTCAGCTCCATAAAGGACACGCGCTTGCTCGGACGGCAGCTGGTGGTTAGGACGGGCAGGCGCATCGACCACAGGGAACCACTGCAGGTTATTTGTGCTTATAGCTAATGAAATGGAAGTGACTTTGAGGTAAGTGACTTTCATAGCACAAAGACTATTGTGGTCTAAACCCTCGTTCTGCATAATATCAGATCCCTTTCTTGACAATGAGACTGAGGGAGGTTTTATGAGAAGAAATGTCAGCTGTCCGCAGAAATACGGAGCAGTGTCATTTTGATAATCCCGCCAATGGAGCTGTCATTCCTGAATACGGTGACACCTTTCCCTGGCTGGTGGCCTGGCCGGTGTGGCTTAGTTGGCTGGGCATCTTCCCAGGCACCGAAGGGTCACCGGTTCGGTTCTCAGTCAGGGCCCAGACCCCGGTTTTGGGCTCAATCCCCAGTGGGGGGCATGTGGGAGGCCACCCATCTACATTTTGCTCTCGCATCAATGTTTCTCTCTCCTCCCTTCCGCTTTCTCTAAAAATCAATGATAATAATAATAATAAAAAAGTGTGATTCGTGTTTTCAGTCGTCACCTCTTGGCAGCAGAGAGGCGTCTGTGTGCTGGCTGCTGTATTAAACAGTGTAAATTGAACGCTCCAGGTGCTTAGTCACTTAACACACAGGTGCCTCTGTGCTCAGGTATGAGGTCGGTGCTGACAGAGTTTAAACACCAGGAAGGCCCTTGACTAGGACAGTGAGCAGACTGGCCAGGATCGAGTAAAGGTACATCCGAGTGCCGGAGCCAATGAAAAGAAACAAGCCTACGGCCCTGGCCGGTTTGGCTCAGCGGTTAGAGCGTCGACCTGCGGTCCTGAGAGACCCGGGTTCGGTTCCCGCTAAGGGCACGTACCTTGGTTGCAGTTTGTCCCCGGCCCTGGTTGGTTGTGCGGGTGGCAGCCACTCGATGTGTTCCTTTCACATCGATGTTTCTCTCTCTCTCTCTGTTACTCTCTCTCCCTCCCACTCTACCTGAACAAAAAAAATGGGAAAATGTCCTCGGGTGAGGATAAAAAAAAAAAAAAAAAAGAAACAAGCCTACGGACAGGACAGAAAAGTGCTCTGCGCATTTCTATTGGCCATAACCCAAAGCATAAAGGATAATTATCATGGATATATTTTAAGAGGATTTTTTGTTTTGTTTTGTTTTTTCATCCTCTCCAGAGGACATTTTTCCATTTTTTGCACAGATAAGAGTGGGAGGGAGAGAGAGGAACAGAGAGAGAGAGAGAAACATCGACGTGAAGGGACACATCGAGTGGCTGCCATCCGCACGACCAACCAGGGCCGGGGACAAACTGCAACCGAGGTACATGCCCTTAGCGGGAACCGAACCCGGGTCTCTCCGGACCGCAGGCCGATGCTCTAATTGCTGAGCCAAACCGGCCAGGGCTTAAGAGGATTTTTGATTTCACAAAAGAATTTGCCATCGGAATCCCCTAAGTGACAGCATCCCTGGTTGAATTAGAGCGGTCATTGGATTGACCACAGTTGAAATTATATGCGACTCT